GTGAGAAATAGCTTATTTTTTTGTTTTGTTTACTTTTGTGACAAAAAATGATGAATCATCAAGTGTGACAATACTTATGAAAAAGGCAGTAATTTAATACTTTGTATAAGTATATATGTTTGTTATTATATGTTTCAAATGTTTGCAATGTTGTTTCATAATTTTATTAATTGTTTTTATTGTTATTATGTGTTTGTTTGATTGTATTTACATATAACTTTACATTATTTAATAAATAATAGTTTTATGTGTTTGAATGTATTATTATTATTTCATACATTTGTATATCTATATAATATATTTTATTATTTCATTTTATACATTTGTATATCTATACAATATATTTGTATTTGATAAATATATGTTATTTATTATGACTGTTTGTTTGTGATAGTAGAAATTGTTTTTATATTTGAGTTATTATGCTTTAGTAACATTTATACTCTTGTTTTTGTATTATTTGTTTGTCTAATCATTATTAGATTGATTGTATGTTCACAATAGTATTTCTTTATATTATTATTATACTTTGCTAGCATTATTCTTTTGTTTATAATATTAATCATTTGTATTATTAATATAATATCAAATGTTTGTCTGTAATGTGAGATGTTATTATTATAATGTATCTCTGTAGTGTAAGATAAAGTAGTTCAGTGTTTGAATATAGTATTACTGGGTACTCATTACATTTAAAGCAACTAGTCTGTCTAAGGTTATTTTAATAAATCAATACATGTTTAGGATGCTTAGACAGGTGTGTCTAGATTCTTATAGATAGTATGTTCTGATTACAAGTATTATAGCATGTCTTGTTATATAGAGTAATTGTAGTCTTTAGGACAAGACAATTTGCATTTGGTATGCTCAGATAGGAGTACTAAATGTTTGTAGACAAGTAGAATAGATTGTACATGTAGAATCAAATGGATTCAGTATTAAATAGGGTAGTTTGATGATACTTATTAAGTATAATACAATTGAGTATATTAAATCATCTGTACTATAGTGTATAGTACACTAAAGCATTCAAGATAATGATTGTAGTACATATAATCATACATATAGCTACTAAGAGGGAAATTATAATTGCTAATATAATGATTTTAAAGTGTCACATTTGTAGAGAGTAAGATAAAAGTATAGTAACAATGTAGATATGAGTAGAGAGTACAAGACTCATAACCTGTTAGTGTGTTAAGGTTGCAAATATCCCTAAACAATAGGAAATATTCTTCTGTAAGTTTGTACACTACTCAGGATAATACTAAGAGTAAGTCACACAAGTAGGATTTAGTAGACTCAGCTTATAGTGTGTAGGTGTTAATACAAGTTGACTGTGTGTTCTGTATATTAGTATGAACTTTATTGTCCATAGATTAAAGTATTATATACTATGTACTATTGAATGCCTTGGTTGTATGTCTCAGAAGACATGTTTCTATAATAGTGTATATTTGTAAGACATTTGTATGATTTAAGACATATAATGTATTTATCCAAAATAAATGTTAACAAACTCTATTACTTAAGACTTAGAATCAAGTAGTTTTATTCATAGAACCCTATTAATCATAAGTCTAAAGATTGGCCAGATTCCTAGGTTATCTTTATTGTCCTACTCAATAAAAACTCTAGCCTAGTATTATAAACCTCTAATTATTACTAATAGGTGATCAATCTATTAGTAGAGAGAGGGGACAGGAAGGAGTAAGTATTAAGTCAGTTAGGAAAAGGTGACAAAGCCTTTTAAGATCTTTATATGTTTAGGTTAAATACATACTCTATTACTATATTACTTAGTAACCTTAACTAAAGACAAGTCATTTAGTAGAATGCTTGTATAGAAAGGGGATCTGGAAAGAGTATAATGTTCAAGTAAGACAAAAGAAAAGACTAGGAGAAAACCTGCTCCTAAAGAAAATAAGAAATATACTTACTTGAAGAAAAGATTAAAAACTTACTTAATAGGAAAAACTATAGAGCTAGCTAGGAACTCTTTGTACAAAGACAAAGGACTATTAGAGCTAGTAAAGAGACAGAGCCAGAACTCTAAAGCTTTATACTTAAGGAGGACTAGTACTAGTGTAAAGGAAAGGGGAACTAAGAGCTCTAAGGAGAGACTATAGGAAAGTAGTCTCTTATATATAGTAATCCTATATAGATAGGAAAGTAATAACCTTATAACATGAGAACTATATGAGGAACACATGAGACAGTCCAGAACTATAGTTGTAAGTTCTAGGATTGAATATAGACATACAAAGATAAGACTAGAAGTTAATAAGGATAATTGTCTCTTAAACTAAGTCAATTATAAAAGACTTAGGAAAGAATCTAGAACTCTAGTTGTTAGTTCTAGAGTGTACACAAGACAGTCTAGAACTTTAGTTGTAAGTTCTAGAAGTAGTACAAAGTAACAGCCTTTTATATTATAAAAGTTATAAGGAGTTATTAGAAGTTATAATACTCTACCTTATAAGAAAGTACATTATAGACTAGTGTATAGAAAGTACAGGTCAAGTTAAGAGAAGACTATAAAACAATACAAAGCTTTACCTTATAGGAAAAGTATTATACAGTATAAAAGTTATAACTAGTTAGGAGAACTTATAAAGAGTTATTAGAAGCTTGAGAGGAAGTATAGAAGATATAATAATACAGTAAGGAGTTATTAGAAGATTAATCTAGAATATAAGACACAAACTAGTGTTAGAAGATTAATCTAAGATATAAGAAGACACAAACTAGTATAGTATAATACTTAAAAGATTAGCCAGCTCTACTTTATAGGAACAATAGTAAAGAGAGTTACTAAAGTTACTAGAGTAACATTACTTTAGTAAAAAGTATATAAGGAGGCCAGTTTGACTCTTAAAAAGATAGTTTTATTAGCTTAAGTTACTTAGTACTTAGACTCTCTAATACTAAGCTATACTTGTAGTTTGACTAAAGTAGGACTCCTCTACCCTCTAACTCTACAAGCTTACAAGTCTTACCCTCTATACTCTATCTTTGTTACTACTCTTAACACTCAAGACTAGTAAAGTAAGTATATTTAACAGAACAAATAAAGAAGATTAGTATAACAGATAGTACTAATACTCAAAATGTAGAACAGTTAAAGAGTAGTAATAAGAGTAGTCTTAATTTAATATTAGTAACAGTATAGAGAGGACCTAAAGGCTTAGTAAGGGGACCTAAGCTACAACTATCCTACACAATAGAGATACTAAGATACTAGTACTAGAATGTAAGTATTAGAGTAAGTAGAACCTGTAATTTAGACACAAAGGTAGAGTAAGGTAAGAATAAAGTATATAGAGTAAGTCTAAGAGTACAGAACTATCTAGAGTAGACAAGATTAAGACTATAGAACTAGTCTGATCTTATACAAG